TTTAAATTAGAAACAAACCTGCTTCACATGTCAATTCCATCTCCCTTTCTCTCTCCCTCCCTTTCCCTCCTCCCCTGCCCCCACCAACCCTGGCCCCTTCCTTTCCAAGGAAGATTATAGACTTATAAAAATATTTTATTTATATTTCATGTTCATTGGTGTTTTGTCTGCAAGTCTGGATGAGTTAGTCAGAACCCCTGGAATTGGAGTCACATTTGTGAGCTGCCATGTGGGTGCTGGAAATTAAATCTGGGTCTTGAGGAAGAACAGTCAGAGATCTTACCCACTGAGTCATCTCCACCCCAGACTATAAACTTTTACATAGATAGTTAAAAGATGCAGTTAATTTTTTTGCATTTTAAATTTATTGTGCTATATAGCTGCAATATACATATATATGCACATATGTACATACACACAAATATACATGTGTATTTATAAAACATATGTCTATCTGTATAAAATTGCATTTATAATGTGTTTATTAAAGGTGTAGAAGCTGAATTCATACCAGAATATTAACTGTCTCATCTGGTATGCCAAAACATATAGACAATCTGATGTCAATAGCAGTCCATAGCAGCCTAGAAAAATCTGTCTCTACGAAGGGAATTAATCCTATTGAAAGGAAGCTAGAACCCAAAACACTAAGGCTATATGAATGGAGCTCCTATATGTAATTTGTGACAGATTTTATGTTATATAAATGTGATGTGAGAAAATGTTAGAGAGATCAAAGGAAGAAGGAAATAATTTTGATGGATTAGGTCTCCAAAATCTTTGAGGGTTAGAAATACCTAAAGTGGCTTTTTAAATGTTGGTGTATTTATAGAGCGGTTCTAAGTGCCAGCCTCCATTCTGTGCTACCAATGAGGTTTTAGTGAAATTCAAATGATGCTCTCTGATGCTTTTGGTATTTCATTATACTTGAACTGAAACATACAATAAACCTGTTCAAAACCCAACTTTTGTAAAAACATAAGTTTCTCTGCTTTTTCCTTCAAGAAAGTGAAATTTGAATTGCATTTTGAGAATTTCTTTTGGATTTAAAAATTTAGGTAAAACATTCAAATGATTTTGGTTGAAATCAACATAGCATGATAAGATAAAAATACTGCCTCTTCGTATTTTCCTAATAACAAGTCATGATGCTAATGGGGCCATCACCTCCTCCAAGAAGGGCATTATGAGATGAGAAATTATAAGCTTTGATGGTATCTGTTAGTACCAATGATAACTGCATATTCCCAGAAATTAAATTTTGCCTCTGCTGATATAAGTGCAGATTTGTCTGACTGAATAGAAAGACGAAAATCTCGAACAAAAGTTAGGTGATGTTCTTTACAGCAGTGCCACTGGCCTGGAATAGGAAATGCTATTTCAAAGGGGATATGACAAAGAGTTTCCTTATTTGGGAGTGGAGCTTCAGTCAGTAGTGCCCTGGGCATCATATGTAATTCTTAGATGCTATCTCCTAATAACAACAATAAATCTACACACTATATTTGGATCATAAAATAACATTATTATATCTGTATATAGTTCCATAAATTGGATAAGGGATACAATTTTGTATTTTAAAAAGTAGTCAAAGTTCTTTTCATGCATAGTGGTGAGATTAGGAAGGACTTGAAAGGACTATCTATGTTTGAATGCAATCTGGGTTATGCTTCGCATTAGTCCAGGCATAATGGAGCATGTGATATATTAAGAGGAGTAGACATTTAAAAGATAGGTAAGCATAGTAATGTAGGGCTAGGAGAAAATCCTAGGTTGGAAGTTTGTCTAGAGAGGGATTTAGAAGTTTCTAATTAAAATATTTCCAGTAGTTTGCAGGGACAGGTTTGAAGTAAGTCTCCTTCACTCTCTAAATCTTGGATTGTTTACTAATGACTGCTATGTAGATAGATTGCTTTTAGATGCTAAGTACAAAAATGTGCCAAGTCCATCTTCCAATTTGGTGACAAGAAGCCTGGATTCTGAACACTGAGCCAGAAACATCTGTGCTAAACACATGAAAAGAAAACAGAATCGTTTACTATGTCAACTTGTTAATGATCATATACTCATTTTTCACTCTGTCTACACAACTATGCTCTTTTATGACAGTTACCAAGCTGATCTGAATTTTCCGTTCCATGGGACTTCTATTCCAGGACTTTGCAAAAGCTAGCATCATTTTCATTTACTATATTCTAGCATAGTCAAAATTAAGCAAGCAAATCATATATCTAAATACAACACATTTATAAGTTTTATGCACTTTGTACTGATGAGCATTTTCCCTGAGACATGAAATTATTTTTATGGTTTAACAAAATGAACTCTATACATAGCTCTGTTTGCTCTTATGATAGCTGCAGGTATATAGCCAAATGTCTGTCTGTGTTGGCTTGGGAGGATCATTATGTAAACTCACCTGCTCAATCAGAGTCAATGTTCCAAGGTATAACCTTAATTGCTTTGTAGTTTTACATGTCCATTGATATGGAATTGGCTATTGACTATTGTCTGTGGTGCGATTTGAAGGTCTTTCTGAGTAACTCTTCTACTGTGAAAGAAGTCACCATGTACTTACTGAACTGCACTGCCGTATTTTTTAGAAAGCAAATTATTAGATAGACAAGCCTCAAAATTCTCTTGTATTTTCTTGATGTATTTGTTTATTCTCAAGCTAATAACTACTGTGCCTTAACTTTTCTATAAATGCTGACTTTTTGGCCAAGCCACTATTCCTACATAGCCTTTTTACATAGCAATTCTCTTGTTTTTTTCTCTTTTGAATTGGCATTTAACTATTAGAATTAACTTGTTGATATCAACCAAATAACCTACTGTGATATATTTTCAATTTTAAGAACTATTTATAATTTCAAAATTTTCATTCTGTACCCCACTTTTTAATTGGATTAGTTGGTGTTTGGGAGACTAACTTCTTGAGTTCTTTGTATATTTTGGAAATCAGCCCTCTGTAAGAAGTGGGGTTGGTGAATATCTTTTCCCAATCTGTGGGCTGCCCTTTTTGTCTTGCTGACTGTGTCCTTTGCCTTACAGAAGCTTCTCATTTATTAATTGTTGATCTCAGTGTCTGTGTTACTGGTGTTATGTTCAGGAAGCAGTCTCCTGTATCAATTTGTTCCAGGGTACCACCTTCCTTCTCTTCTAAGAGGTTCAATGTGGCTGGATTTATGTTGAGGTCTCTGATCCATTTGGACTTAAGTTTTGTGCATGGCAATAGATATGGATCTATCTGCAGTCTTCTACATGCTAGCATCCAATTATGCCAGCTCCATTTGTTGAAGATGCTTTCTTTTTCCATTGTATAATTTTAGCTTCTTGTTCATAAATCAGGTGTTCGTAGATGTGTGGGTTAATTTCAGGGTTTTTAATTCGATTCCATTGGTCTACCTGCCTATTTTTGTGCCAATACCAAGATATTTTCAGGACTGTAGTTCTATAATAGAGCTTAAAGACATGGATGGTGATACCTCTGGACATTCTTATATTATACAGGGTTGTTGGTGGCTATCCTGGGTCTTTTGTTTTTCCATATAAAGTGGAGAATTGTTCTTTGAAGGTCTGTGAAGAATTGTGCTGT